TCCGATTTGTTTGTGCAAAAGTGAAGAGATGAAAGTATATTTTTGCTATGTGCAATTTAAGGAGAAGATAATTATCCACAAAATTTATGTTTCTTTTTTTTTCTTTTTTTTTTTTCCTTTCTTTTTCGTGTTATACAATAATGTGGCAGCCTTTCTCTGATCGCTTCGGAATGAATAATCTTAAAGTGCATATGATATAGATAGGCAGGTGCACGTGACCCCCTTTACTTCCTTCTCCCACAGAAAGAAAGAAAAATTTTAAAAAAGCAGCCCCCCCAATTATTCCTTCCCTCGCCTGCGTATGTTCACTTTACATACGCAGGTAGTATATAGATTTCTACGTAATCTCTCAATTTAAAGCTCCCCCACTGGTTGCAATGCGAACAAGGGGCAACACAACAACAGGTTGTTGTAGAAAATGGCCTTCCTTGCTAAAACATATGCGGCGTTAGCATCCCGAAGGAGGTTTCTATGAATGAAATTTTGCCTATGCAATTAATATCAGGGGGAAGAGGGAAAAAAAGTAGCTTCGCTCGGCAATGTGAGGGAGCCGTTTGACAGGCGGCATGTATAGGCACCAGCATAAGCATAAACATTTTTTTTTCCTTTTCTTTTTTCAGATTTCGAGAAAAACAGCGGTAGGGAGTGAGGTGAGTTAAGAGGTAGCCTTTTTTTTTTCACATAGAAACTGAATTTACCACTTAAACAGAATATTCCAAAGTTCCTGTAACCTCCGCAGCCTATTGCAACTTTTTGGCGAAATGTCTCTCCCCCATTTTTGGGCCTTCACCATCCGTTCAAGCAGGATTGCACGAGCAGAATACTGTGAAAACATTTCGCATACCTCATAACGGTCAAGCCGTAGTGTTACCCTACCTTTAATGTAGCAATTATGGGAGTGATGGTTTGTCCGCAAGAGGCACCTTTTCCTTTTTCGTCTCACTATTCTGACAAGTGGGATGCATACACGAAAGAATTTCATGTCGTCCTTTTACCTGACCAATTTATGTACTTGTACGGAGGTCAAGGGGTTCGAAACGATGGGGTAGATAAAACGGAGAGGGGCACAGTAACGCATTGCGATTTATGTGTATATATCTGTGTACAAATTTGTTCATATATTACGGAAAATTATGCTTGTGCCGACCCAAAACCGCTTTATGCCGCCTTATAACACCCCTTAAGAATAAACTGCACAGGAGAAATTCACAGCTATGTTGATCCACTTATGCAATTATATCTATACTTCTATGTGTTTCACGTGGAAATTTGCCTGCTCAGCAACTTCGTCCACTTGTTTAACCCATGTGTGTGCGTAGCAGTGCAGGTAACGTTGCTTTTCTAGGTTTCTTTTCTAGGTTGCTTCTCTGGGTTGCTTTTCTAAACAATTAATAAAGTACCCCCTTCCCAGAGGGGTCCCGTCATTTGGAAATCGGAGCAGCCTTATCGTGACCCAATAAAAAGGCACGACTGGGGTGGTCAATCTCTCAAATAGAGCTATTTCCGACTTGGTCAAAAAGTGTTCATATGAACGATGTAGATAGACTGAATTCTGGAAAAAAACAAAGAAAAGAGGAAAGAAAAAAAAGAAAGGTACGAAATTCGAATGATCTACATGATGCTGTATACTCCGTTTGTGTTTCCTCTTACGCGAAAGTAGGAACATATTTTCTCCCACTTTATGCTCAGCTATTTTGCTACCGTATTCTGTAGGAAGCGGCGAAGTTGTTTTGTCTCGCCAATTTTGGGTTCTGCACCCGAGTGTTTCGAACCGAGGGGTTCGAACTTTATTGTGATAAGGTATTCATATCGTGGTACCCCTTAAGGGGGGGCGTCTTTTACTTGAAGGCAGAAATGCTGAATGCCGAGATTCTACTACCTTCTTCCTCTAAATCTGCCAATTATGGCGATATGAGCACAGGAAAATGCGCAAATGTGTGCAATGCATGCGATGTGGTTATTCGAATTGGTGAGTGAACCCCCTTAACGATTATGTGGAAGGCTGTTACACACATGATGCTTTTTCCCTGTTTTTAAAGATTATACTCCCCCAACACCGATGTAGAGGGGAGAATCCGCGCTTGCAGAAACAGAACTGATGCGCACAAATGCCATACATTTATAAGTTTGCTTCTATTTAACAGAAGGGGGGGAACGGATGCTGACGGACGAGGATACACATAAACACGAATAATCAGTCATGCAGCACGTGACTTGGTGCACTATTTCATGGACATGGCATGCACGTTTCGCTCTTACCGCGATTGCGCAATGGAAGGATACTTTTTTTTTTTCATCCAACACATTGTACGTTTCTTTGTTCATTTTTTTTTCATTTTCCCTTTTCAGGGGTCAAATTTCTAAGCACTTCTTCGACCCAGTAGGAGTGCCACCTACGAGGTTCGTTCCGCGCTTTATACCAACAAGACGGGTTCCGCACATAACGCGAAAGTTTCGATATGCCTTTTTTTTCCTCATTGATAGCAGGCCAATAACACGGTTACTCCAATCTAAGGCAAAATTTTTGGGAGGCCCCAAGCAGGGCAGTCTTTCCATTACGTATCATTTTTAACCCTCTACTACATTCCTGTATGGACGTTCTTAAAAGCGCAGTTCACAGGTTGTTTGCAATTGCACAGCGGTCGGTAGGGGAAGACAAAAGTGTTAAACGTTGGAAGGATCCATTTGGTTCTTTAGACATTGTATTGGGATGGATGCATCGTCTTGCTTCCGTGTGGGAAGGACGTGCACCCCTTCAGCCTCACACCCCCAAGCCCCACTGTAAGGATCGGTAAGCGGCACATGCTGACACGAGATAAACACGTTGGAAAGTTTTCATTCATCCGTCCGATTAGTACCGTGCACGCTGCTGCGCAGGGGAAGGAGTTACTAAGTCCAGCGAAAGGTATACGCTCTGTATACATATATGTATATTTATTATGCTTACCCTGTGGGAACACCGACCTGCATAATATGCTACCCTTGTACGGGAACAGGTCATGGCCTATGTAGAAGAATGTTAATACCTTCACCGTCATGCAGCATATGTACCCTCTGCCGCTTTGCAAACCTAAACGATCTCCATAGGAATAGATAACAAAATGGGAAGTCCTTTTTGGAGTATTTTTTTTTTTTAAAGTGGGAAGGAGGTACCGCGTCAATGGAGTACAGTTAATTTTGCCATTGCGCATTTGCTTTCTTTTTCTTTTTTTTTTTTCAAAATGTTTTCTTCTTTTGCTGCCATTTTTTTTGCGTTTCACTTGTGCGTCCCTTTCTTGATTTCTTTATAATTTTTTGTGACTTCTTGCGATTTTTTCTTTTGCTCGCTTAGCTGCCCCATTTATTGTTTCCCTTTTTTTCTTTTTTTTTTTTACCTATTAATTTTTGTCGAGCGGATGGGTCAGGTTTGGTCCATTTAGCCCCCTTCCCTCCTTCTACGCAATCAAGGCAGAAAAAAACATACAATTTTCTGCGACTGTTTTTTTTTTCTTTCTTTTTCCTTTTTTTTTTTTCCTTCTCTTTTCCTTCTTTTGGGGTTATCCAAATAAGTTTGCTGGTTCGTAGGTGAATGCATAGAGAATGATTCCCATTCCACATTCCTTCACCAGGATATAAAACTCATTTTTAATTTGGTACATCATACATGCATGGCGAACAAGTATATAAATGTGGGCACACGAAATATTTTTTTTTTTTACGCACAAAAAAAAATTATAAACCTTTACGCAGAATAAAAAATATATCAATAGGTATAATCGTACCCTTTTTAAAAAAAAAAATTGATCGAGGCAATACGCGCCATGTTCATAAATAACCATTCGTGAATTAATTTTACGGAAAAGTAAAGTTATGAAACTGCAAAGTATGTCATTCGGTAATCGCATTTGAAGAAGAGGAGGAAGCGAACCAAACGCAGTAACGGCCAAACCGCAAAACAAAAAATGCGAAACGCAAAATATATTAACGCAGAAAAAACGCAGTGACGCGAAAAGAGCGAAGAACTCTCACGGACTGTTTAGCCTAACCAACCAGATTTGAAGAAGAAAAAAAAACTGATTTATATGTACTTTTACAAAAAAATTAATCGTTTCAAAATTACGCCAGAGAGTTCGGCGCGTTTCAACAGTAACAGAATTTATTCGACAGTTTCGTCACAAGAATTCTATTTGTTTGGTGATTTAATTTTGGAGTGAAGTACTCTTTGTGCCTTGATTCTCCTGTTAGCTTTTTTCTGTAAACGAGCAGCACTGATGCTATGCCTTTGCGTGCAGGAGCGGAATTGCGGCATAGCATAAACGCGAAGCGTGTCGGCAACCAGCACCCGATTAGCAAGCGTCTAAAGCTTAAGAAAGCAGTTCGCACAAACATGCATATACGTATACATAATAACAGGATGAATGCGTGACCCCTTCAGCTGCGTTGGTATACGCACGTCCAGAAGCGCATACGATTTATGCTTTTTTTATGAGCCCTATCCTACGCCCTTGCGCGCATGAATAGTAGAATTGTTCATTTGTTTTTATCGATTCCTTTTTTTCTCCCCTCTTCCCTCGCATAACACACGTATGTATTTATACATGTGCATGTTTGTGTCTCTATAAATCCCCCCTTTTCTGTTCACCTGTGTGCCCCCCTCTCCACATGACGCATACGTCTCAATACTGTGCGCATGACAGTCGCAGAAAATCGGCCTGTTTGTGTAGCGCTTTTGTTTTACGTAACTGCAATTTGCTCGGCGCATTGTTTCTGACCGGAGCGATTTTTACAACACCTTTTTTTTTGTTTTGTTTCGTTTTTGTTTTTTTACCGTCCCTATAAATATAAGCAGGTGTGTAGGCATATGTATAGGCATATGTATAGGCATATGTTTAAGCATATACATAAGCGTATGTACATGTGAGACAGGAAGGCTCATCTTCTGTTTTTTTTTTTTCTTTTACGCTAACCGCTTTATGCCAACCGCTTTACTCCCTCACGCGAAGCCGAGTCAGTAGATAAAAATGTCAGCAGCCGCCATAGGAGTCGAAAACAGATGTTTAATGAAAAACCAGAAAAACAATAACGGCACACGTGATAGTATCAATGTAGACATAAATCATATTATAAAAGATATATACGGATTTAAGCATGGCAGGAAGAGAAACGTCCAGTTTATTAACGACGACACTTTGTTGAATAGCCAAGACATGAAGAAAATCATAAAGAGAATAAAAATTCAAGACAGCTGTGGGAGTAGCTATACGGGTCATCATGGACCCTGTGACCGTGAGAGTAAAGAGGAGGAAGATTCATTGACGTTAGCTCCACACGATGCCACTTGCAGCAATAGTCAGGACGCTGTTAAGATTGGTTCGGTGGTCGACTCGGATAGAGGATCGGACAGTGGCTTGGAAAGAGCGTCGGACAGCGGTTTGGATAGAGCATCAGACAGCGGCTTCGACAGAGTATCGGACGACGGCTTGGATAACAGCATCCTCCATACCAGCCCACGCGACTGCAACAGTAACAGCTACATACGAAATCGCGACAAGCGCAAAGGCCCCCAAGAATATGAAAACTTCTGCGAAAACAGCCACATTGTAAAAAGACAGGCCAGTAGCAACAATCCGGTTAGAAGTAACTCCACAACGGAATCGCTAGATCATCGAGAAGAAAACAGAACAGCTCTGTCCAAGCACTTCGAACTCTGCATCGATAACGTCCTAGAGCATATCCGCTCCTGTAACGAAATTACTCAAGCGAAGAAAATTATGATTCCCCTGCTAAGTGAATTTATATTAACAAATTTTATCTGTCTGGATGATCATGAGAGGGTTCAAAATGGATACAAAATAAATATCGACACTTTGCAGAAGGAGAAAAAAGTTCTAATAAGTGCTGTAAAAACACAGTATCAAAAAATTATACAGTTGCAAAAATTGGTGGATAGCCAAAAATGTGAAATAAAAAAAAAAAGCGATGAGCTGAATCAGATAAAAGCCAAGGTGCATCAGTACTTTTACGACATTAACAATCCTAACAAAAGAATTTTCTCTATATTGTCCCCAGACGTGTACTAGGTTGGTGCGCGCGGGCATGGGGGGCGGGGAATATAGTCGTTACGTATAGCAGAAGTGGATCGTCTACTGGAGGAGAAGACTCTCTTCCCCCACGAAGCACACAAACAACGCACAATTCGTTCCATACAGTAACTCTAATGATACAATTCGTAACGGGGATGTGCTGGTTTCCCATAAACATGTAACAGTAAAAATGAACGCGCCAATTTATATACCAAGAAGGATAATATAACGTTTGCCAATTTTTTTTTTTTTTTTTATAATTTTCACCCCTGCTGCTGGTAAATCACACAGCCCATATGCCCGTAGAGTCGTCAGCCAAGAATAACTTTTCCAGTTGATAGGAAGATTGCTTACATAATAGTTTTTCTTACCATTTTTGATGTACGCACACGTGAGAAAGAGATTTGGCCTCCCTTGCTGTGCCCCAAAGGAGAGACAAAAAAAAAAAAGAATTATATGCATATTTCACCAGGACACTTTTCTTTTTTCAAGTTGCGCCTTTTCTTATTCACGGCGCATAAGGGGAGTAACAATTTGTGCAGCCTCCTGAACGATCAGGAGCTAGGAGTAGATAAAATTATTTTACACATTACGCTGCATGTGTGTGGTGGTGGGCTCCCCTATGTACGAAGGTTGATCGTTCCGCGGAGAAGTTTTCGAGGCATTATCATTGTTACCACACTGGAGACGTGATCTCACAGTTGCGACTACGAATATGCGAAGAAGCGATAGGCGAACGAACTGCGGCTACTCGAAGACAATCCTTCCGCCGCACGACTGGACGCACATAAGTATATATTAAGCGGAGGTGCAACCACATGTTTGAGCATTTTTATACGAAGCTGCAAAAAAAAAAAATCGTCCAATTTTTGCACCCAGTTTTCGCACCCAATTTCTGAGCCCAATTTTTGCATCCAATTTTTTTAATTGTTAAATGTACCCTTTTATTATAAGTTTTTTATAAAATGTTTTTTTTTTCAAAAATGGAAAACTCAGTACTGTAGCAAAGTTAAAATTAATATGGTTCCCCCCAAATGTATTTATTACTTTTTCTTTTTGTCCCTTCCTCGTGTGGACGGTGTGAACGGTTGGTTATGTAGTATTGGGGGGTTCCTCGGCCAAATATGTTTTTCCCCCGTTTGGGGGCATCGCACGGGCAGGAGCATTTCCTCGCCAAAGCGCATCTTGTTAAGCAAACGAAAAGGAAAATTAAAGCAACTGTTCCGGGGGACACCCGTTGGAAACAAAACAAAACAAAAACAAAGCTAAGCGAAACATTTTCAACTTAACAAAAAAGTGGACAAGGAGGAAAGACTAAATGTTTAAAAACAGGCACACCACCCCGAGGAGATGCTCATACATCGGTGAACGATCAAAATTGGGAAAAAATTGGATGAGCACATGAGAGGGGAGGGAAAATCAAAGGGGAATTAAAAAATGTGCCAAATGGGGCGGTGTCTCTACAGGGAGGTCTTCGAAGGGGACATAAGCACATATATATATATATATAGGGGGTCATACCCTATGCAAACAAGAGAGACTCCATTTTTTCCCCACTGTGCTTCTGCTTCCCCATGTTGGCGACATGTCTTCGAAAGGCTAACTCACCCTGCTCTTACTCGTGAGAAGCATTCCGAGGTCGATAGTTCGTTTCCGCTTCGGTTTTCGCCTCATTCTATATCTGGCTATATACGCTGCAGCAAAATCGTGTTGGCGTTTTATCTCTTGCAGATTGATAGGTAAATTTATTAGCGGGTTGAAACCGTTGTCTTGAAATTGATCTTCATTCTCGTTGCAGACGCTGCTACTGTTAACTGAATTTTGCTCCTCCGTTGTTCTGCTGTTATTGCTGGGAAGGTCACTACCTGGTGGGAAGCTCCCATTGGGGAGTAGTGCTTTCCTTTGATATAATTTCCCATTGGGGGCAGAAATGGACGAAGAGGATTCACTGTTGTTGGTAACTCCGTTGGTTGCTTTGTCATTATGGCTTCGGTTGTTATCGCTTGAGAAGTAAGACGTGCCTATCGTGGACGTAATGTTGGCTTCCCCGTTTGAGGCGGCGGCACTGACGGGTAACGTTACTCCGCCATTTACTGTGATGCTTTCCCATTTGTTCTGTTTGTCTAGGCCGATCGAAGCACCACCATTGGTTTGGTAGTACGCATGGTTATCGTCCTCTCCCCTCCTCCCCTTCCCCCCCCCGACCTCTTCCTCGTCTTTATTCCCATTGCCAACCTTTTGACTTTTAATAATCGTATCAATTATATTTTTAATGTTCGCGTTAATAATTAAGGCATCTGAATTTATAAGCTTCTGACAGTTTGGACATTTCATCATTTGGGATCTACCATCCCCCCCCCCGTTGTGTTGGTACCCGGATGAGGAGAACTGAGGAGAAGAGTAATTATTTTTCCTTTTTCTGTTATACCTGTAGAGGCAGCCTTTGCAGTAGGTCTCTCCACAGCAAGGTAGAGTTGTCGGGGAAGAGTACAATTTTTTACATAAGAGGCATTTGTACAGATTAGAGATCTTGTCTTCCTCCTGGCTTGGGTAACTGCTATTCGTGGGATGAAGACTACTGCTAAGGTTCCCACTAAGAAGGTTATCACTTAGGTTCCCCCTGCCATCTCTACCCCGATCACTATCCATGTCAGCATTCCTAGTATCGTTATTGTTCACGCCCAGGTAAATATTAATCTTATCATCAACACTGCGATATAGGTATGCACTGCCACTGACATCTTCAACGTCTTTCATCACCCCATAGCTTCCATCCTTCAGAATATAAATCTGGTCATACTTATTAATATCCTCTGCTTTAATTTTCGTAAGAAAGTTCGTCGGGATTCCTGTGGGTACCTTTATCTTCTTATTATTGTTAAAAGAGCTCATGGTGCAATTCCTAATGCTGTGCCCCTTCTTCCCGCACATGTGACATATGTAGTCGGGCGAAACATACTTTGTGCTTGTCTCTTGGTTGCTCCCATTGTTATAGAAAGTCTGTCCCTTCTGTTGACTTCTCCAGTTTGTGTAAGTGCTATGACTATTTGCATTGCCATAGAGACTATTTTGTGAGGCCCCCCTCATTTTGTAGTACTTACTACATGTCCCTGCCACTCCGTTTTGGAAGTGGTGATCTCCTCTGGAAGCGGAGGACTCCGAATTGTAGGCACTTAAATTCTTCGAGATGGAGGAAGCGGAAGCAGAAACAGAGGCAAAGGCAGATGCAGACGCAGCAGCAGGAGATGCTACACTCTTAAATTTATTGTTCCCATAAAACTGGGAAACATTATTTCTATCCTTTTTATAATAATTTGACATTCTAGATTTGGCAAAGTCTGGACGTTGATGGTAGGGGTTATTTTCTTCCATCACTTGCTGGATCTTCATGTCCTCATCATCCTCATTATTTTCTTTCGTACTTATAGCATTTCTGTTGTAGACGTTCCATGGCTGTTTACTGCTATATGGGTAATTCGCCCTTCGGCTCATCTTGGGTGCTCTGTTTAGCTCCAGGCTATTTGGCTTCCCCTCGTGCGTCCCTATACCTCGTTGGTTGCTCGCTAGTCCGCCACTATCATATGCGCTCCCAACCGTAGTAGTTCCATTTGCCTTATTATCTTGCACTTCACTTTGTCTCTCACCGGAGAGGGGCATAACTCCACTTCTATTGTCTTGCACACTTTTGTTCCTTTCCAAATAGGCATGATTACTTCTTTGCAGCAACTCTTTAACCACATCTATATTGCTCCGCTGGATTTCCACCAGCATTTCATTTTGTATGCTTTCATATTCGCTCAGCACTCTGTTGTTGTGGTAAAGGAGAATGTCCAGGCTGCTTTGTAGATTCAAGTTGGCCGCCTCCAGGATCTTCTTCTTTATCGTGTTGTAACTGCAGGGGAGGGAGATCCTTAAAATGTTCGCGTTCCCTTTGTTCCCCCGAAAATTCCAGTAGATGAAGGTGCCTATCATTTTGCTTCACAGAGGCGAGGTGAGCGGCCAAGTTAGCGATCCCGTTAGCGGTCAAGTTACCGCTCGGCCAGTAGGGATCACCAATTAACTGTGGGGCAAAATCCCACGGACGCGCTGACACACTGTCTCCCCAACCAGTTCGGCTTTTAAGTCTTCGCAAGGTTCGTACTAAAGGTCGCCTCGATTGGTTTGTCCCTCTTGAGCACTCATCTCATCTGCATAAGTATTACCAACACAAGGCGCACAGAAAAAGAAAAAAAAAATGCCTACGCTTGGGAGGAGATATCTAAAGAGTAAGCAGGCTAAAGTAAAAACATGAAGACACATACGACTAAGACATGTAACTTTTTTAGTGGGAGAAAGAAAGAAAAAAAAAGGAGCAATTTTTTAGGTCTATGACTGTGTGTTCTTTTTTTTTTCTGCTTTAAAAGTTTACAGTAAGTTTTTTTTTTTTCTCCTTTTTTCTCATCTGTAACGTTTTCACGTTTTGATTGGAGCAACAGGCAATTTCTCCTATGTGGTTACATTCCCTGTGTGCTCATTTTTTTATTCTTCTATACAGGTTTTTTTTTCCGCGCTGTCGATGAGCGTTGCATGGATACTCCTGACAGTTTCGCCTTTGAATGTCTTAGTGCAAACGGGTACATATACGTAGATATATACACTTAAGTATATATGCATGTATGTTCCTTTTCTTTTTCCTTTTTCTTTTTTTTTTTTTTTCCTTTCAGCTTTCTCTCGCTTTGCTAAGTGACGGGGGAAAAGGAGAAACTTCTGATCGTGGATGCATTCATTATTCATACAATCCGACTTTTTATTCCTTTTTTGACTTGCGATAGGTGAATGTGTTTTTTGAAAAAAAGCTATGCAGGCATAAGGTGTAGAAGTGTATACATGTAGGCATACGTACGTATGGCGGGAACGCACACCCACTATTGCAAAAAAAAAAAACACATCACACAAAACCATACGAAATGTGGTACATGGTCACTCTGTAAAAAAAAAAAA